TACATTGACGGGTATCTGATTTTTTTCTGTCGGAAGACGGTCAAAAATGGGGGATGGCGCAACAAAGATAATTTGGAAAACTGTCAGAAAATATATCTGGATCCGCCACTGGAAATGCAGCATAGCCTACTGCAATTCTACTCCAAAAAGTACATAGGTTTGTTCAGAGAGGAGCATTAATGCAGTAGATTAGCAGCATGATAGAAGCGTTTTTCAAATATGCTAATTAGTTCCCAAATCGAAGCAGATTTGAAGCATGTTTGTAGTATGATTGCAGTAGTCTACTGCTGTTTGCAGTATGATTGCAGTAGTCTACTGCGCTGGAGTATCTACTGCGTTTTCTTGCGGGATATTACGTTAATTTATCACTGAATTGCGTAATTTTAAATTCTTCATCACGTCTGTAAACTTTTACCCCATTCATTTGGTGCCAATGTTATGAAATGAAGACTTATATTTAAAAAATTCAGAGGAAATTATTCCATTGCGTGACTCCAATGCGTATCCTTGCAAGGCTAATAAGAATAATTTTAAAATATCTGCTAAATCTCTATCGAGTACAAAAAAGCCAATAAAAGAATGGGCGAATACATAGTTATAAAGGAATTTGGCTAGATTACCAGATCTAAAAAAAAATTAGAAAAGGAAGCAACCTTAGAAAAGGAAAACAATTTTGAGTTATAACCTGTACACTTTAAAAGAAGGTCACCGCATCACTTCATCCATTCAAGCAATTCATTCCAATTCGTTTTAACTAGAATAAGGCTATTTCTACCAGTTTTTGCGTGTTATCCATTGCCAGATGGTAATTCCATTGAATGAATACCTCGGAAATTTTCTCGAACTTTTATTCAATTGCAAACTTTCTTAATCACTGAACGCTGCATTAAAATAACGTTTTTGCGTGTTAAAACATAAAATCAGGTTAAGTTTTAGACGTCGATGTAGTCTACATCATTTGGCATGCAGCCTTAGTTTGGGACAAACTTTCAGGCTCTCCTCCATTCATTCAACAGTTCGTAACGAACCAGCTTGTCTATCTCCTGTAATGCGCTGCAATATCTACTAATGACATATGCTTATATTCAATATGGACGCGGAGCTGCGCCATTTTACTAAAAAAAAAACTGATTTTATGAGTCACCTTAGTTATCCTCGCATTTTCTGCCTTGGTCAGTTATCCAAGTGTCGGGTCAATAAACCCCCGAATCCCCGAGCCGCCTTTACCCAATGTCAATATTCGTATAATACAATTTTCAAACTAAATTTTATTTATATCCACATTGGAGGTCAATATTATATTCACTCTTGCTGCAGATGATGGAATATTCTAAAAGAGTGTTGAACCTTCTATTTCAATAAGTTCAAAACAAGACAAAATGTTACTTACAACCAGCTCATTAGTCCTTCATTGTAATTCCATGTCTACCTTCTAGTTACAGTATATTCCGGGAGCATTTATTCGCTTGGGCAACTTTCAGTGATCAATTATAAATTTATGAATTAGTGGAAACTTACTGAGATATGCAAATGCCAAGTCCAACAAAGCAGGTATTAGAGGAGAAAAGCAGATTCACCCAAAAGCAATACTGTTCAATGATATGTATTCACAGAGTCATTATCAATTAGTCATATTATACAAACCCAGATGGTGTTATCTTATCTTCGAGGTAGTGACTTCACCAGTTTCTGGAGCTTGGTGGCTCAGGTATACGCCTACCTCACCTCATCCTGTGTACTCCGCCGGACCTCTATGCTCCAACTTATACGATCTAGATCATCCCAACAGCGCTCAGTGGGATTCAAAGCAGGGAAAACAGACCAGTCTACTTGTTGATTTCCCTGGTCACTGAATAATGTTTGAGTTCTGCGATCAAGTTGAGATAGGCCATTGCCATAGTGTAACAAAAAAGTACGACCGAAATGGGCTCTAACACCATTTCTGTCGTCAGAATTCGCATAATTCAGGTGGTAGCTGTCTGTAAAACACCAAATTAGGTCAAGCTTCATAAGGAATGGAAGTCCAAAGGTGAATAGAACCACCACTCTATCCAGCACTTCCCAACTTCCACAGTCTTCAGCTAATCTGTTTTATTCCGGTTTATATGTCAGCTGGCCAATATTGTCGAACCTGAAAACAACTTTTGTCTAATATATCTGTGCTTCTGTTTAATAAAGTCCAATATAAATTATATTTAAATGCAAGTGAAAATCTTATCTAGGCATACCAGAAAAACACAAACCCCTCTTTTTAGGTCGTATTTCATAAAAAAACACAAAAAAAAAATTAAAAAAACAGGGATAAGTGTCGTAATAATAACAACACACTTCAATTAATAACTTAAGGCAAATATTTATCTATCATCTTGAAAAGCTAAATGCAAACTACATAAATGAATTGGTATATATAATTAGAGATGTTGGACGTAATACCACACAATTTATCATAGCTTTTGATAAGAAGACTGTTGTGCGGACTTGCCAAAAAAACTTTTTTCGGTCGTATTCTTAAAAAAAACTTTAAAAAACGCAAACCATATAAGCTACCGAGGAAAATTACGAAGATACATGTTAATATGTAAATGTGATTCAACATTTTAACACATTTTAGAAGCTATGAGTTAATCATTTTTGTAGGTCCCGTAGTGGCAGGCGTAGTCGGATTGAAGATGCCTAGATACTGTTTATTTGGAGGTACGGTTAACACTGCCTCTCGTTTGGAGTCTAACGGCTTAGGTAAGTCTTGTCCAGTGAAGTTCATTTGCAGACACTGGCATTATCACCTTATAATCTATTTTCTTTGTTTAGTATAAGTTGGCTTCCGTGTTGATTCTATGTTCTTTATTCTTTCACTTAGCGTTGCGGATACAAGTTAATCAAAATACTTTCACATGTATCTATATATGCAGTAACTTTGAACAACTAGATAGACTCTCAGCAGACATTCTGGCTCCAAGGAAAGGACGGGTTCACCAAGCCTCTTCCTGATCCGACACTTGCCGCCCCCTTAGAAGAACACAAGTTCAAATAACACGTTGAAGATTATTACAGATCAAGTGAAACTAGGCACAAATTAAACACGTTTAAATGTCTTATATAGCACTATTTTCGGGGTTGACGAAATTTTGAGAATTGTAATATAATATGAGAAAATGTTAAAGGCAGATGTTTTCGTCTGTTTTGTGCAAGCATAGTGACAGTTGAAACCGCTGATCCTATTTGCAGACTGAAGTGCCAGACTTTCTTGTGGTACATATGACGAGCATAATGCAGTTTAACAGTGTATAACGTCATCATAGGTCCAAGGAATGTATTGCTTCAGATGAGCATAGATTTCACATCTCATGAGAAGCTATTGAGAAAGCCTAGACGTCTGGATGAATGCGACCCTGTTAGATATGATTTTCAAGTCGAGAAGTACGCCATGAATTCCTCTCGGGACAAATTACTTTAATAAATGAAACTTTCGGTAACATGTTATTAAAAAAGATATTTGCATGCATAACTTAATTTTTAATATATGATTTTTTTATACCTTTTAAACTGATGTTCAAATTGCAGATTTTTTCATGCATATGATTAAAGTCTATGTACACGTGTTACTCAGAAGCCTGGACTGAAACGCTGTAAAGTTTCGAATTAACAGGAATGTCCAATTTACTCAAATACATAATAGGAAAATGCAGTATATTTCAAGCGTTGCGGTTAAAATATGTCATATACATAATCACTTGAATTGTCTTTGTACTTTTACCCATGTTAAATATCGTTCTGTTTACACGATCGCCACACACCGGATGTCAGGATACTTGTGGCCAAATCTCCTCAAAAACTAAGAATTCTACCTCTCGCCATTTTGGGTGTTAGAAACGTCATAAGTATATCTGTTAGATAGGAGACTTCGTATCATATAATGTCACACGAGACTTGAATGAATCTTTTTGTATTTGTCTTATTTGTTAGTTAGCTATATAGTATAATATCAAAAAGGATTAAAGGAGTAAAGTATCCCTTTTAAACTTATCTCGGCATCGTGTCTAGTAAAATCTCAACTATTCAGCATATTCCTTTGAAGATACTTTCCAAAATATTCTTTTACAATTGTTATTGTCATTATTAATCATTGTTGTTACTCTATGGTCTTCTGGTAGAAATCAATGGCACCTAGCGGTCTACAGTAATCGCATCTTTATGTGATCTTGAATATCGATCTTTTGTATCAAAACTGCAGGCATTTAACAAATAGGCTATATTTTTTATTTATCACTTAATTAATGTCTTTCAATTGCACAACAGAATTCAGTGTCGATAGAAAGTAAAAAGGTTACAATTACAAACTTTTGCGTACATTTTTTATTAGCAGTTGAATTACAGGACAGAAATAAGACGCCACCTAGCGTGCTTTATAAATCTCACATTTAATTTCACAAGTGGAATATCGCTATTGAGAGTTAGAAGCGCCTCTTCAAACTATATCAGTGAGGCTAGATTAATGCAAACTGGCTGCTGTGCTAAAAGGTGTATATTCGTGAATAATAGATGACATGCAAAAGTTTTAACATCATCGGTATCAACCCGCACCCTTTGAATACTTGACGTCAAAAGCACCGAGTTTTAAAAGTTGTAGACCGTTACAATTTATTTTAAAATTTAATAGTGCAGTAGAATAAATAAATCTTAAGGTCCGTACATATCTGCGTATTCTGGTTATATAGGTATAAGCAGTTGAAAGTCCATTTGACATGCATGTGAATGACCAGTGGAGAAGGAATTGTTTCCACCTAGAATTCCGTTAAGAAATTCCTATTATAACTACTGTAGGATTCTTGACCTCAATACTTCCTGAGAGATATTACCAAGAATAACTATGACAATTAACTATGAGAAACATTGAAAGCAGATCACATTTCCAGGAAGATATATTAAAGGAAAGTTTTAAGAAGCTACTGCAGTCATCTAGTATGTTTATCGTTCATTCGCAGGATGTTTGGGGTTCAGATTCAGGTAGTAAGGCACATGGTCTGAAGCATAACATTGTTGTTGTTTGTTGACGGGAGTCCCCTCACTGTGCCCTTCTCTGCAAACTTGATGATATAATAGTTGATGTCATCAACAAGGCTTACCGTCGGGACTCTATAGTACCCAGCGTCGCGGAAAACCTGCACCATTCCTGCGACTGCACCTGCAACAAGAGGGGACGCCATTGATGTCCCCTGATACACAGTTGTTCCGTAGTTGTTCGCATAGTAGGCTGCTCTTATTTTCGTCCCTGGAGCGTAAATGTCGACGCAATGCCCGATGTTACTAAATGAAGCCACGTAATCATCTTCATCGGTGGCGCCAACTGTGAGGGCCCACCTTACGCTTGCCGGGGATTTATAACATGCATTTTCCTGGTCGTCATTTCCAGCGCTGACTACCACTGGGATGCCTGCATTCAATACTGCGTATACAGCGTTATTTATATAGGATGTATACGAACCACCGAGTGACATATTAACTACTGATAGACGCTTGTATCGTTGAACCTGTGACTTTATCCAGTAAAGTCCTTCCACGATGTCCGAATAATAGCAAGTTGTATGATCAACGCATACCTTGACGGGGATGATGTTCACCTCCTTGGCTACTCCATAGGTTTTACCTCCCAAGGTACTGGCCACATGGGTACCATGACCATCGTAGTCTCTACTATTGGAAAAACGACTAGCATGCCAGCCTGAAATACAAAAAAACTGACGAGGATAGGCCTGCTTTCTTCTAATTTTTTATTCATTATCTCTCTCCGCCCACCTCCTTGTCATGTATATTCTGTTTAATTTCACATACCTGATGACACTCTTCCTCCGAAGTCACTGTGATAAGGGTTAATTCCAGTGTCCATGACGTATGCGTCTATTCCAAAACCGAGCGCCCAGGTAGCAAAACGGTCATCATCCCAATAATAATAGTCGATTCTGTCTAAATTCTAAATCAAAAAGAAGTGAGGTGATATCAATATACATGTAAATCCTTTCTCTGCCGCAGGATATCGTTTTAATAGGTTTTAGTTTGACTATTTAACCAAAAAATGTATAGTCTGATGAAAAAGATAGACAGTTAGAAGAATGGATTGGTGGCAATATAAAAAATCCAGGTCTTCAGCATAAAAAAACAATTCGTTTGTTATGTCCTATCCTTGACAGAGATCTGTATAGTCTTGTATATATTTTTTCATAAAACTTAATAAAAAAGGCACAAGACCATCTGCAGTCAAGAAAGAGATTGAAGGAAAGGAGCCAAGGATAGCTGTACGTAGTCGCTTGGTGAAGCAGATAAAATATGCAACATTAAAAAAATAATTCAAGCGCACAAAACAAAATACGAGTATGAATTATCTTAAACAGACAAACTCTCCACCACAATCGCGTATAGCTTCCGTTAAATTAGTTAAATGATCTCCAACCAATATAGGAACTAGTACAGCAGCTAGGAGGGTCTGTGGAAGAGAGAAACAGTTACCCATGTTTTGTCAGCCCTGAAATACCCTTCACAGTGACTTCGACCAAGCGACATTTTTTTATCTTGTTCGATCTCCACAAAGACGTCAGTAAGTTGGCGAAGCTTTTGGAGGTCACTGGTGAAATTAAGAAGTACATTAGCAACGGTAAAACATAACACACAAATCTGGACTATATATATATATATATATATATATATATATATATATATATATATATATATATTTTTTTTTTTTTTTTTATGAATCAAATTCTGAATAATAGTCATTTTGTAAATATAACTGCCATTATAAGCTGAACTACAGATAAGGAATGACTTTACATGTCATACCTAGCACTTATATTCCTAAGTATGACGTAACTATCTTTGTTGTTGAACTTCACTCTTTGTTGGGAACCTCTTCCTTTCAAGATTTTGCGAACTGAAATGGATGTTAAAGTTTTAATTGTAACTGTACAATTAGTATATAAGATAAGGTGTTAATAATCGATTTTTGGTATATAAAAGTGATAGGTAATGCACCTCATTACACCAGAGAGCGGACACATCCGCATGCAGGTAATAACTTGTTATGTGCTTACATGTGTATGTTTTTCTTACTTCGTTTTCAGATAAATCGCCTAAGATTTTCACCATCTATTTGGGTTGAAATCGTTTTTGTTTTATTTATTTATTTATTTATTTATTTGTCTCACAAAAATATTTTAGGTTTAGTAATAAATAATTGACTAGTTTACAAACTTATCTGAACATGTCTCTTTTGTGCTTTTCTGAGGCATAAATACAGAACCCTGGACACCGATGTTACTCCGATAGAAACCACAATCCATTCCCCATTTGTACAGATGACATTCGTCCCATATACTAACCCCAGTATATCAAACCGGTCACAACAGTACTAAGCTATACGTCATGAAAAAAACACATAGACTGAATATGTATTAGAAATTTAGTGTCTTTACAGACAGGCTTGAAAATTGTCCTTTGGCCAATCATTTCACTTTTTTGCCAAAAATTGATAACTTTTGATAACAATACTAAAATTTGTTTCACATGGCATGTGGGGATCAGACCCTAAATACTTTTCATATACGATTGCCCTAATACATATACATGTAGTTAAGACAATACGTTCCAGTAACCCAGTTCTTTTATTTCATCTTTTATGGTATATGGATTTTTAAAAAATACATTTTCTAGTCTTGTACACAACGATACTAAAATTAAGCTAATTGTACTAATGAAATAACTTTTTTGAGATGCACCTACTTTTTCCATACTTTCCACAAGGCTTAAGATGGGCAATATACTGGTTGGGAACGTTAGAACCATCCTTAGCAGTGATCAGCCGCACTAGAAAGAATATTAACAAGATATATAAGTACGCCTCGGTCACAACCGGCCGTACGGGCTCTTACGGGCTGTTTGCGTTCAAATTTTCCGCAGAATCTCACGTCCCACGCAGGTTCTTCTTACGAAATTTCCAGTTCGTTAGCGCGTACGGAGGATATTGGACATGTCCAAAAGATTCTACGAATAATCTGCGGACAGCGAGGCCGCAAGCGTAACTTTCTCCCCTCGCAAGGAATTCGCAAGTGAGAAGTGCGTGGTACAAGACGCACGTCGCAAACAAGGAAGGAGTAAGTGCCCTTTGCGAGCTGATTACGGCGCAAGCCCTCACAGCTGACGTAAAAAGTCAAAAGCACAGCAAAAATGCGTCGCACGTGCGTCACCCCCACGGCTGTAGTATAAAAGGCGTGCTCACGACGGACTCTCGTGCCTCGACAATGATTGTGCAACGTGTACAACAATTTACAAAAATATCAAATTTTGCTCAATTCTAAGCCTCCAAAAGACAATAGAAAGAAGCTAAGAGAGTAGAAAAGAAGGCAGGAGGTAGACGAAAGAAGGGGAGAACAGGAGGCAAAACTGACGCACGCCATATCAGCACGTCATCACAAGCGTGTGAGGCAAGTGTGAAGCAAAAATGACGCAAAAGGGAACTACTAGTGAGTGCGTGCCACGTACGCAGGTAGCAAAATAAACTCAAGAAATAGTGCAATTCCCAAGGCCATCGATAATTGCTGTTAGCGTCCCGGCTTGAAAGGACATCTCACGTGGTCCCTGCGACTCGCAAGGCAGATTTGCGCCTTTCCATTGAAACCTTTCCTCTACCGCTACGAACCCCACGGCCTGCACTGCACCCAAAATTCGCAGGGGCCTTACGATCCTAAAATTCGTGCGTCCGGTTGTGACCGAGGCTTTACCAGCGGTACAGAAATACACGCTAATGATTAAACATACATTTGACGAATAAATTACACCAAACAACAGTGTCACTAGAAATCCAATGTAATGACAAAAACTTTGATAAATTTATTAAATCAACTATCGATATGATATTATATATTTATAAATACCTATTGCAAATGTAAAGTGATAACTAAAACTTTGATAATTAGATGGTTTAGAATTCAGAGGCATGAGAAATACACAATATTGATAAAAGTGTAACAAATTCTCTATCTAATTAATCATAACATATACCAGGTCTTATACCATATATAAGTGATAATGGAAAATAAATACACACATGATAGTAAATATCAGCGACGAAAAATCAGTATAATTCTTATTAACGCATAAATTGGCATAGGTATAATGTTTGCAACAGAAACAATAATGGTGAGCAAAATATCAAATGGCTAGCGACCGGTCACTCGCCCAGACTTTGGTAAACTTTACCGTATTGAATTAGACTAGTTGGTAAATGACAAAACTTTCTTTTGCATGACAAATGTTTGAATCGTACCTAAACCTTTCTCCTCGGAGATGTCTATCAATCCTTTTTCCTTCATCATCTTTCTCATTTCTGCGGGATTTTCCTTCTTCATGTACTTTAGTCTTCGGTTCTTGGGAATTTTTTCTCTCACAAACTTCACTCCGGGTGGTATCTTGTCTGTCTCATTGGCATCATTGGCATCATGAGCATCCACCTGCTCTAACGCTAAAAGAGCCAAAAGCGTGGAGGCAAGAAACAGAGAAAGTTTCATGATTGCGGTTCGTCTCTCAAAATGGCCGTCTCACTGTGGTCAGCTCTGAAGAATGTGTTCAACCTGTACCAGACTCAATATTTGCTCGAGTCCGTTTAAGTTAAAGCTTTGGAAACGACGGCTTATGTACATCTTTCAAATGTCACCTTGTTAAATAAAGCACGAAAAACGTGTGGCTTCAGTCCATTAAATGACGCGTGGTAGGACCATAACTTATTAGATATGCACAGTTGTGCACCGTGATGAATCATTTTAAAGGCACAGTTACCGATTTTACTGTAAAATAAAATAAAATAAAATAAAATAAAGTAAAGTAAAGTAAAATAAAATAAAATAAAATAAGCGCACACTGTTTTGGGGGCAGTCTCTCGGTTGAAGGTGGATTTCGATGTTTTTTTTTTTTTTTTAACTATCGTTAGGGGAACTAAGTAATAAACAATTAGATTTGACTGGTTTATTATTTGTTAATTTATTTGTTTGCCTACCGTTTAGGAACATGATGCTAAAAATACGGAGTGGTTTCTATTAAATTTTCAAGTCAGTTCAGTAATGGGCTAGATTATCGTGAAAATTAATTAATCAAATATTGAAGTAATTTATTGATTTGTATATGAATTAACTAGTGAGTTGATAATTAAGTAAATTAGCTTTCCGTGGCCCCACAAAAAAATTCAATAAAATATCACGTTTAAGACTAAAACCATATGGTATAGCATATACAAACATTTGTAACCTCTCATTTTGCCTTTAACAACTGCTTACTTACATGTGTCTGACCACGTGGAGCATCTCACAGAATAACTTAATTAACAGGCTGTGCAAAATGCTGCAACGTCACGAAGATATACGTTAATTCTCATTAACTTCACTGATCCTCAGCTTGCCAGTGGATAATCTAAAATTTTAATGCCTTAAGCATGCTAGAGGTACAAGGTAACCGTATATGTACCCATGCCAACCTCATTAAGTTTGTAATTGTTACTTGATTGACTACCCTCATTCTATGGAATTGGCTGCCTACTAAGCACAATGATGATGTGGGAAGTGACTTTTCCTATGATCTTAAAACATGTCAGTTGAAACGGAATTTAAATTTAACTTCATCATAAACTGAGCTTTTTAGTCTTCTTATGTCGTAATATCTTAATATAATGAGCAGCACCGATTTTAGGTTTTGCCTTTTTTCCTGATAATTGTGCCTACTTCTAAAATCATTTTACTGTAGCTGTAAGTAGCACTGAAATGCAGATATTGTGCATTTTTAATAAAATTAACATTACTGTAATTATTTTGAACCGTATCTACCTTTTGTACTGTGACCTACCAGGATGACATATTGATTTATCATAACATATTCACAGATACGTCTCTTGCTAATTCATGACACAACTATCTGCTGTCAGAGAGAAGTGTACATATTAATCTGCGGCCCTGGTAGAGGCTAGATCTTGAGGAGGTAGGCAACGATGCACATTAATTGAAAGCATAAAGTATTTTCAGGATCTCACCCCCTGTGTTAATGGTTGCTATGTAGATGAAACCTTCGACAGAAGCTGTGTCAGGATGACAGAAAAAGGTATCATGCCTGCTTCGAGCAGAGTTGATACATTAATTTCCATTATGAAAACCACAGACAAAACAGTAAGTGTACGCCTTGTTCAGGTTCTCTCTTTCTTAAAAAAAAGAAAAATCATCCGGCACAATAAATGAAGTTGTATTTTCTTGACTACCAACATGTTGAACATGCAGAGATATAATGTCATATTTTATGACGTATATTACATTAATTTACCACTAAATTGCGTACTTTTTTTATTCTTCATCACGTCTGTAAACTTTTACCCCATCCATTTGGTGCCAATGTTATGAAACGAATACCTATATTTAAAAAATTCAGAGGAAATTATCCCATTGCGTGACTCTAATGCGTATCCTTGCAAGACTAATATGAATGATTTTAAAATATCTGCTAAATTTCTATCAAGTACAAAAAAGCCAACAAAAGGAATGGGTGCATCCAGCAGTCTGATCAGATTGCCAGATCTAAAAAAAATTGAAAAGGAAGAAACCTTGGAAAAGGAAAACGATTTTGAGATATAAACTGTGCGCTTTATAGGGAAATGCCACTGCATCACTTCTCTCCATTCAAGCCATTCAAACCAATACGTTTGAAATAGAATACGGTTATATCTGCCAGTATCTGCGTGTTATCCATTCATCATCATCATCAATGCTCTTCGTCCCGTGTGGGACATAAGGCCACAGTCACTTCTTTCCACTTGGCCCTATCTCTGGTTACGTGCTGGACTGTCCCCATGTAAGGTCCCCCTCCCTCAGCTCTGCCATCACTGTTCGGCGCCAGGTGGTCTTGGGCCTTCCTCTCTTTCTTTTTCCAGGTGATGTCCATCTCAAAGCTACCTTTGGTACTCGGTTCTCGTCCATCCTGAGTACATGGCCGAGCCATTTAAATCGCCGACGCTTGATATGCCCTACAATACTCTGGCTCCCTGTCAGTAGTTATCATTGCCAGATGGTTATTCCATTGAATGAAAACCTCGGAATTTTTTTTCGAGCTTTATTCAATTGCAAACTTTTTAAATTACTGAACGCTGCATTAAAATAACGTTTTTGCGTGTTAAAACACATAAAGTCAGGTTAAGTTTTTGACGTCGATGTAGTCTACATCATTTGGTATGCATCCTTAGTTTGGGGCAAACTTCCAGGCTCTCCTCCATTTATTCAACAGTTCGTAACGAACCAGCTTGTCTGTCTCCTGTAATGCGCTGCAATATCTACTAATGACATATCCTTATATTCAATATGGATGCGGAGCTGCACCATTTTACTAAAAAAAAACTGATTTTATGAGTCACCTTAGTTATGCTCGCATTTTCTGCCTTGGTCAATTATCCAAGTGTGGGGTCAATAAATCCCAGAGACAATTCACCCAAAGTCAATATTCATATATTTTTTTAAACTAAATTTTATTTATATCCACATTGGAGGTCAATATTATATACACTCTTGCTTCAAATGATGGAGTATTCCAAAAGAGTTCTGAATCTTCGATTTCAGTAAGTTCAAAATAAGAGAAAATGTAACTTACAACTAGCTCATTAGTGCTTCATTGTTATTCCATGTTCTACCTTCAAGTTACAGTACATTCCGGGAGCATTTATACGCTTGGGCAACTTCCAGTGATCAATTATACATTTATGAAAAAGTGGAAACATACTGAGAAATGCAAATGCCAAGCCCAAGAAAGCAGACATTAGAGGAGAAAAGCAGAGTCACCCAAAAGCAATACTGTGCATTTAAGAATTAATCAGAGTCATCATCTTGGGTAGCCGCTACAAACCCAGATTGTGTTATCTCGTCTTCGAGGTAATGACTTCACCATTTTCTGGAGCTTCGTTACTCAGATATAACCACCCACAACAAGAACGGCTACTTCATCTTATCCCATGTATTCCGCCGGACCTCCTACTAATATTTTCTAAATCATCCCAACAAGGCTAAGTGGGATTCAAAACAGGAAAAACAGACCAGTCTACTTGCTGATTTCCCTGGTCACTGAATAATGTTTGAGTTCTACGATCAAGTTGAGATGGACCATTGCCATATTGTAACAAAAGAGTACGACCGAAATGAGCCCTTACACCATTTCTGTCGTCAGAATTCCCATAATTCAGGTAATAGCTGTCTGTGAAACACCAAACTAGATCAAGCTTCTAAAGGAATGGCAGTCTAAAGGTGAATAGAACCACCACTCTATCCAGCACTTCTCAACTCACAGTCTTCAGCTAATCTGTTTTATTCCGATCTTGACATAAATTATGCAGTCTCGAAGAAATCTTGTTTCATCAGAAAACCAGTCATGCCTCCATTTGACTGATCCTCGTGAAAATGGGGTATTTGGGTGTTTTTTTTTTCGCCATTGCTTTTAAGAGGTCTGACTCCTACCGAAGATATAACAAATAGACCTAGCGCTATTGGCTCACCTTTGTATTGAGCTTATCATTCTGTATAAACAAAATTTATTTACGAAAATACATTAATGTAATAAGCATATTTGATTACTTCTGTCATATTTGGTACTTGTCTTTTCTCAATAAATAAGACATCAGCTAGATGCTTAGCATATACATTTAACCCTGGGAGAAATTTCACCTGGTCTCTGTTGCAAAATTGTGATCAATTATCTTAGCATAAGTTATATGGGCAGAGATCATATGTGGAAGAATAACTGTACAAAACCAAAACCAATCCTTTGTTAAATTTGAAAATCCAGTTTTTGTTGAGAAATGAATTTCGACATCTAACTCCTGTTAACTTTTATATTTGTTGGGTCTAGAACGAGATGGTAGCCTCGTGAGCTACAATGTAGATGCAGTACGTGTATAACGGACCAATCATCGAAAGCGTAGTTATACATCACAGCTAGCAAACTTTGCGATGCAATGTTCTGATATCTTCTCTATACATTCTATTGTCGGTTTACTTATAGGAAAATGTGTTTCCTGATCTGAAGTGAGAATATAACGATAATAAATGATATAAACATTTGTGGTTTTCAGGGTATATTCTACAATGGGAAGTTTGTATGTGGTATTACATGTATACGTAATTTGTTAAATATATAGCATGTCAATTAAGTATAACAGAATACATTTTATGTGGTTTATATGTCAGCTGGCCAATATTACCGAACCTTAAAACACCTTTGTCTAATATGCCTGTGCTTCTATATAATAAAGTCCAATAGAAATTATATTTAAATGCAAGTGAAAATCTTATCTAGGCATACCAGAAAAACAAAAACCCCTCTTTTTAGGTCGTATTTCATTAAAAAAAAACAAAAAAAAATTAAAAAAAAACATAGGGATAAGTATCTTAATAATAACAACACATTCCAATAAATAACTTTATCTATCATCTTGAAAAGCTTAATGCAAACTACATAAATGAATTGGTATATATAATTAGAGATGTTGGACGTAATACCACACAATTTATCATAGCTTTTGATAAGAAGACTGTTATGCGGACTTGCCAAAAAACCTTTTTCGGTCGTATTCTTAAAAAACTTTAATAATCGCAAAACAGGATAAGAACGTCTCAATAATAACAACACATTCCAATGAATTACTTAAGGCAAATCCTATCTACCATCTTGAATAGCTAAATGCAAACTACATAAATGAATTGGTATATGTAATTAGAGATGTTGGACGTAATACCACACAATTTATCATAGCTTTTGATACGAAAACTGTAATGCGGACTTGACAAAAAACCCTTGAGTGATTAGGGAGCGCTGTTAAGGACTTACAATATGCACAGCCACACTCACATCAACACTAGATAGCGCTATCCTATTGACCATAGATGAATATTTACTATATTTCTAGTAAAATCAATTTCTTTCAACGATTTACAAACTTGTTTCTTGTTCGAATGAAAAGTTTCACTGTTGATGATTTGTAAACGTACATTATGCAAGTAGAAGAGATCAGCTGGTCATTTATCAGCACATCCACCGTTAATTAAGTCACGATGTGCTGTATTAGTTTTACGTCACTATTGTGTATAAGTAGGTCAGCTTATGACGTCACCATATCGCGAGAGCATGAGTATCTCTAGTTGAGAGAGACGCTGGAATATGAACGGATAGGAGACGGAGTTTTGTTTTGGGACTTTTTGAAGGAGAATATTCTTTTTGGAACTAATTTACCACTGAACCGACACTCATATTTTCTACTGGAACTTGCATCGTAATTACTGTGGGATTTCATCGGACACTTTCACTGAACTTTGAGCCGATTTATCTCCACTCACTCTCCAGTCGACGGATTCACATCGGACTTTCACACAGGACACTTCATGCTTTCAGATAGGTTTATTTGTGTATTAAGAATAGCTTATTGTTATTGTCATTAGTTTATTTAGTTTTAATAAAATATTAAAACTTCTTTAAATCTTTTGTCATTGATTTTTGCTGGCATTGGGTACTCTGACCCGTAACAGTCACTAAAACTTCGTTTGTCGAGCACACCTCGTAAAAATTAATCTTTAAACACACCTCAGAATGTTCTGCAACACCTAGCTCTGCAATATGAAAAAATCCTCACAAACATTCAAGAAATCCTTATTCACGTGGTCAACAATCACATTTTACACATACAAAACACAGAAAGTTATTTCACATCGGATTTTGGTCCTCCTATAATATGGAATGTTTGAGTAAAATTTGACTTAATAATCAATATACAATACACAATTATATGATAATATACAAATATATAATATACAATTTAATTTAATACGATTCTCACAAATAATATTGTTGGATTGGAAAATCTCAAAATAATTAAGTTTCATTAAAATACATTCATCATACAATTTAGGGAAATAACTTGTTAATATCTTCATTCAACATGGTTATACTCAATCCATAATATATTCCACTGATTTTTGCTGGTCATTCATTCTAAATGCTGGATATGATATTAAACAACAAACAAGATAGATCATAATCATATGACGAAATTAGTCCATTATGTTCATTTCAAGTAGGGCGTAAATATCTTACTATGTCAACCGGCTAGCACGTTGTCATGGTATTCACTGGATCAGCCATCATTTTACTGCTGGTAGGATACTTTAGTGGTTATGGTCTGCAGCATTATGAAACCCTTTTTCTTTCCAAGAAATGATTTACACTTTTTTACTTATTCTCCATCCGTGCAGTGAAATAAGTGAATCTAACATTTAATCCTAATTATTTATAGATTTTCTGGTTATCTGATATTGGATATTGTAAAACGGTGGTTCTCCTTCAACTCAATGCGAGAAGTTTAACGAAATTTTCTGTAACACAACATATGCCAGAGAGAAAGAGAGAGAGAGTGAGAGTCATTACATCAAATAGGCAAAAATTATAATAGTCGTAGTTCTCATTTTTTGTAATCCACAGACAAATTATTTTGGAGGGGCCGTAACCTCTAACTCTGCCTGCAGACGTCTGTTTAATGCTCGACTTTCTTCAAGTTGTTGGCGCAATTCTCGAATCATGTCATCCTTTGCTGCAATCTCCTGTTTCATATTTTTGTTTTCATCACGGAGTTGGCCATAGAGGGGCGCACACGCTGGTCCTAAAAGGAGAGCGGCTTCATTAAAAAAAGGGTAAGCTAATCAAATAACGCATATATTATTTATGGATGGGTTATTAGTAAATGCACCCCCTCCACACACACGCACACACACACACACACACACACACACACACACATAAACACAAACATAAATACGCGGTAGGGATATGTGTTACAGAGATATTTTCAAATGAAGTGTCTAACTATGATTAATAATATTATGTGTACATGTAGAAGCAAAGTTGCTCATTAAATTTATATGTAAGCGCTTTAAAGTTCTAAAACTTGAAAAAGGTTCTTCATCAGTTCACGCTGTGTTTTAAGAACATTTACCTTTAATGGCATCAACCAATGACGGGATGAAATTTTGGCTCTGGAAATTTATGCAGTTTCGCACTCTGACCACTGGTGGTAAAGACTCGGGACCGACGTCCATGGTTACGGGAATCACCACGTCTTCTTTCCTCTTTTTAGCTTCGAATTCTGCCACGTCACATATGTTAAGAAATACATTATCGGACAAAGACGTTTTGGAAAAGAAAGGCACCGTACGCTTGGCCATCTCGACGGATTCACACATGGATTTTATTTTAATTGATCCTGGCAAGGGAGGCTCACAACAGCGGACTCCATTAGACTCTAACTGTCCCCTCACCTCGTCCACTGCCTCTTCATCGTCACTGGCGTGCGCTAAGTAGGCATCGTATTGGTACGAATCTGTCTCCATACTGGAATGAGCCAAAGGGGATAGATAATAATTAGGACAGTCAGTGCACTGTTGGCTTATCTATACAGTGTAGGTATACACTTAACGTGGAGAAATAATATATCTACAGGTTTATTTCACAGAATGTAGAAATATTGAGTCAATTTTGATGAGATGATCAATACAACATGAAAACCCGATTCTGTTTAAAAGAAAATTATAATTGTTAAGAAATATTGATGTACAGAGTTACATATACAAACCGTATCATAAAGTATGCAACCATGGTGTGTATACTGAACTGGTCGTTTTGAGCGATGTAGTAGCGTGGGGGTGGATAATTTATTTTAAAAATGCATGTTAGCCATTTCCAATTAGTAGAGCAGTAACATATCTATCTGCTTTTTTAACCAGTATGTATAGAACACATGGCTGAATTACAGGACACCCAAAAAACATGACTGAGACCATTAACTTAATATACGAATAGGACTGAGGCTATGGGCGGAATTATAATCTCCCTGCATTAGGTTTGCGCCCTTTGACACACACACACACATATACACACGCTTCTATATTCACCTCATTTCACATCTCTGCTCTGTGGGACAACCAGCCGTTGAAATCATGTGCCGGTGTGCCAAAGGAGCTTGACAAAATGTTCCGTAGCAATCGGCTGACATGTCCGTAATCTTTTTGGCGATCTCAGCATAGTGATTAGCAGCAGCCACTATATAAATAAATGTACTGGTAAATCAGTTGATAGTGGGTGTGACTTTACCTGCTGTATGCTTTATAAGTGTTTTATGTAGATGTATATGTGATACATACACTTGCATTGCTTTGTGATTTTAGAATAAAAGACATTTACTTGTATTTATATCAAAAGCGAAAACAGGTTCCGCTTTATTCAACATAAGATGTCACAGTACACATTACAAATCGCAGAATTACATGACAAATGATAAGCAGATATGTAGCTTGTCAACTCATGACCTTATGTTGGTAAAGGTCGCTGGCAGAGGGTACCGTAAATTTGTAAAGACCTGTCATATCTAGCTTAAAATAGGCAGGTATAACTATCGTATGTACAGTCCATTTTTTGCCAATCTTTCAGCGTATGAAATCACTCTTTGAAAATGAAAAAAAAAATGCAGTCTGTATTTCTTGTGCTTCTTCTCGCAGTTCAGTATGAATACATGTACAATATCCGTCTATCTAGCACTCACCAGTCAAGTTTTGATGCCCTGCACCCGCCAATCTCGCTTTAAACTCTCGGATAGTTCTAATCCCAAGACTGATCGTCCAATTCTTTAATCTGTCTAACTTCTTGTTCTCATGTTCATTTGGGGAAATGCAACTCATGTCTTCTTTGAAAAGAGCATTAGCCTCAACAAGGGTCATAGTAGCAGCAACATGTTCCAAACACAAGATGAGAATGAAGTGCTGGAAGAAAAGACACTAAGTATTAAGTGCTTTTGATAGATGCCGTCCTTGAGTTTGTAATATTAATATTAAAAGTGGTATTTTAACGTCTTTGAATGTTTTACGCTTATTAAAGTTACATACACGAACCGAGCATCGGTGGAGCGTGGATTCCCAGTAACACATATAAACCACTTCTACTAGTTTCTTATACGACTCAAATAAATTCGCTCACCTGGACTTGTTCATTCTCGAATTTCTTTATAAATGTTTCGAAAACCTGGTTTGTCCTTAGCAGATCGCGGGGACGTATACCACTCTATAATAAACACATGTTTAAATGACATTACAGGTAAAGTGAGACAGTATAGGGTGTTAACATGTCAGAGTACAGTACAGTAAATTCATATGTCAGAGTTTACTATTTTTATTTTTTAGGTTTTGCGTTGATAAAGGGATTAATAACGCGTTAAAAAACATATAGATCTGCCGTATCCCGTGACCACCCCCAGTTTAGTTTTAATTTACTCTCATTTACTGTGATACACACAGTTTGGAGAACATATAAGAGTACATGCAAACAATTGTCAACCTGAAGGGTTGGCACCTTTGATCATTTTAAAAAAAATAACTTTGTGAAGATTATTAAAGTTTTTTTGTTATGAGTTGAAAATAATTCGATAAATAGATAACATGGACATATTCTGTGTTGTGATCTCTAACAATTATACCCCTGTGCGCTACATCACCATATTTAACAGTGTCGCATTTTCAATTTTTGGCTATGCATGATTGGAAGTTACATCTCGTATTTGGCGTGAAATATATTTATGCATTGCAAAATCAAGTATATATTTTATATCAAATACATATACATACCATGTCTGTACTGCAGGGATCAGCTCCGTGCTGAATGAGTACAGCTGCTACATCGCTGTGACCATGCATAGCAGCCATATGAAGAGGTGTGCGACCATCCTGAAAATACCCAACATTTAAATATGAAGCATACAATTTTACAAAATAATGATAATATGTTAATGATATCAGCATAAAATACAATAATGATTTGACAAATCTTTGGAAAGTATTGTATGTTGTAATTTCAAACAGTTTTGTCACCGTGTCTACCTCATCATACATATTTAACAGTGTTGCGCTTTCAATTTTTGGCTATGCATGAATGGAAGTTACATCTCGTATTTGGCGTGAAATATATTTATGCACTGCAAAATCAAGCATATATTTTAAATCAAATACATATACATACCTTGTCTGTACTGCAGGGATCAGCTCCGTGCTGAATGAGTACAGCTGCTACATCGCTGTAACCTTTAAATGCAGCCTCATGAAGAGGTGTACAACCATCCTGAAGATACGCAATATTTACATATGAAGCATACACTTTTACGAAATAATGATAATATGTTAATGATATCAGCATAAAATACAATAATGATTTGACAAATCTTTGGAAAGTATTATGTGTTGTAATTTCAAACAGTTTTGTCACCGTGTATACCTCACCATATTTAACAGTGTTGTACTTTCAATATTTGGATAAGCATGATTGGAAGTAACATCCCGTATTTGGCATGAATTATATTTATGCATTGCATAATCAAGTATATATTTCAAATCAAATACATATACATACCTCGTCTGTATAATTTCAAAGTATATATTTCAAATCAAGTACATGTACATACCTTGTCTGTATAGTTTCAAAGTATATATTTAAAATCAAATACATATACATACGCTGTCTGTACTGCAGGGATCAGCTCCGTGCTGAATGAGTACAGCTGCTACATCGCTGTGACCATGCGTAGCAGCGTAACGAACAGGTGTACGACCATACTAAAGATACACATTATTTATATATGAAGCATACAATTTTATGAAATAATAATAATCTGTTAATGATGTCAGCTTAAAATACAATAATGATTTGACAAATCTTTGAAAACTTTTGTGTGTTGTAATTTCAAACAGTTTTGTCATCGTGTCTACCTCACCATAATTAACAGTGTTGCACTTTCAATTTTTGGCTATGCATGAGTGGAAATAACATCTCGTTTTCGGCGTGAAATATGTTTATGCATTGCAGAATCAAGTATATATTTCAAATCAAATACATATACATACCTTGTCTGTACTGAAGGGATCAGCTCCGTGCTGAATGAGTAGAGCTGCTATATCGCTGTGACCATGCAGAGCAGCCGAATGAAGAGGTGTCCCACAATCCTGAAGATACCCAATATTTACATATGAAGCATACGATTTTACGACATGATTATAATCTGTTAATGTTATCAGAACAAAATAAAGTAATAATTTTACAAATCTTTGAAAAGTATTGCGTGTTGTGACTTCTAACGATTTTGCCACCGTGTCTACCTCACCAAATTTAACATATTTCAACATTTGGCTTTGCATGAGAGGAAGTAACATATCGTTTTCGGCGTGAAATATGTTAATGCATTGCATAATCACGTATATATTTTATATCAAATACATATACATACGCTGTCTGTACTGCAGGGATCAGCCCCGTGCTGAATGAGTAGAGCTGCTACATCCTTGTGACCATGTTTAGCAGCCACACGAAGAGGTGTACGACCAAACTGAAGATACACATTCATTACATATGGAGGATAGAAATTTACGACATGATAGTAATCTGTTAATGATATCGAATAAAATACAGTAATGATTTGACAAATCTTTGAAAAGCATTGTGTGTTTTGACTTCTATCAATTTTGCCACCGTGTCTACCTCACCAAATTTAATAGTGTGGCATTTTTCAATTTTTGGCTATGCATGAGTGGAAATAACATCTCGTTTTCTGCGTGAAATATGTTAATGCATTACATAATCACGTATATATTTTATATCAAATACATATACATACGCTGTCTGTACTGCAGGGATCAGCCCCGTGCTGAATGAGTAGAGCTGCTACATCCTTGTAACCATGCATAGCAGCCACATGAAGAGGTGTACGACCAAACTGAAGATACCCAATAATTAAATATGAAGCATACAATTTTACGAAATAATGATAATATGTTAATGACATGATAGTAATCTGTTAATGATATCAGAATAAAATACAGTAATGATTTGACAAATCTTTGAAAAGCATTGTGTGTTGTGACTTCTAACGATTTTGCCACCGTGTCTACCTCACCAAATTTAACATATTTCAACATTTGGCTTTGCATGAGTGGAAATAACATCTCGTTTTCGGCGTGAAATATGTTAATGCATTGCATAATCAAGTATATATTTCAAATCAAATACATATACATACCCAGACTGTACTGTAGGGATCAGCCCCGTGCTGAATGAGCAGAGCTGCTACATCGCTGTAACCATACACAGCAGCCACGTGAAGAGGTGTATCATTGACCTGAAGATACACATTATTTACACATGAAGGATAACAATTTACGACATGAGCATAATCTGTTAATGATATCAGAATAAAATACAGTAATGGTTTGACAAATCTTTGAAAAGTATTGTGTGTTGTGACTTCTCACAATTGTGCCACCGTGTCTACTTCACTGTATATTTAACAGTGATGCACTTTCAATATTTGGCTATCCAAGAGTGGAAGTAACACCTCGTATATGGCGTGAAATATATTTATTGCATTGCAAAATCAAGTATATATTTTAAATCAAATACATATACATACCATGTCTGTACTGCAGGGATCAGCTCCGTGCTGAATGAGTAGAGCTGCTACATCGCTGTGACCATGCAGAGCAGCCGCATGAAGAGGTGTAAGACCAAACTGAAGATACCCAATATTTAAATATGAAGCATACAATTTTACGAAATAATGATAATATGTTAATGATATCAGCATAAAATACAATAATGATTTGACAAATCTTTGGAAAGTATTATGTGTTGTAATTTCAAACAGTTTTGTCACCGTGTCTACCTCACCATAATTAACAGTGTTGTACTTTCAGTATTTGGATAAGCATGATTGGAAGTAACATCCCGTATTTGGCGTGAATTATATTTATGCATTGCAAAATCAAGTATATATTTTAAATCAAATACTTATACATACCATGTCTGTACTGCAGGGATCAGCTCCGTGCTGAATGAGTAGAGCTGCTACATCGCTGTGACCATGCATAGCAGCCACATGAAGAGGTGTACGACCATCCTGAAGATACCCAATATTTACATATAAAGTAATAATTTTACAAATCTTTGAAAAGCATTGTGTGTTGTGACTTCTACCTCACCAAATTTAATAGTGTGGCATTTTTCAATTTTCGGCTATGCATTAGTGGAACTAACATCTCGTTTTCTGCGTGAAATATGTTTATGCATTGCATAATCAAGTATACATTTCAAATCAAATACATATACATACCCAGACTGTACTGCAGGGATCAGCTCCGTGCTGAATGAGTAGAGCTGCTACATCGCTGTGACCATGCATAGCAGCCACATGAAGAGGTGTATCACCATCCTGAAGATACACATTATTTACACATGAAGGATAACACTTTACGACATGATAGGGATATCAGAATAAAATGCTATACTTATTTAACAAATCATTGAAAACTTTGGTGTATTATATTTTCCAACAATCTTGCCACTGTGTCTACCTAAACATATATAATAACAGCAAGGAGGCTTTTTAGGATAAAGATGGGCCTAATTTTTTCATTTTTAAATTTTCTTATTTTCTTCCATTTTTTACATTTTTTAATAATTGGTTTTACATGAGTGGAAGTAACATTTTGTACTTTGCGTGCAATATGTTTATGCATAGCATAATCAAGTACATGTTTCAAATCAAATACATATACATACGCTGTCTGTACTGCAGGGATCAGCTCCGTGCTGAATGAGTAGAGCTGCTACATCGCTGTGACCACCATCAGCAGCGTAATGAAGAGGTGCACGACCAAACTGAGGATACACAATGTTTACATATAAAGCATACGATTTTTGACATAATTATAATAATCTATTAATGATATTAGAATAACATACAACAGCCATTTTACAAATCACATAAATAAATAAATAAATAAATAAATATATAAATAAATAAACTGTTTGCGCCCCCCTCGTTCACAGCAGACGACCGAGTACTTATTCTACACAATGATAGCGGCAGTACTGTATAAGCCTTTTTTAAGTGTTTTTCTGCCACCTTTCTTTCGCCGTTTAATCCGATCTACATAATTCTTATATCAAATGTGTCCCTTAAAGTCCACGTGCAACCATATACATAAAGTATATACGGGGATAGGTTATTTGTAAATACTTTTCAGAGGTTAGACTGTTACGTTTTTCATACTATTAAAATTATTTTTACAATTTAACATCGATCATATAATTGAAACTGCACGATGTAACAATGATATAAAGAAATAATAAGCTAAGTTCTGTACATTTCTCGGCCATACTCGTTAATTATAAATATTTCATCATTATAAATTCTAACCATTTTACCTTAATGTATTACTGACTTATTTTAGTCCATAAAGTTAGTATAAGGACAACTACCACTCATTATTTATTTCAATATTGACAAACTTACATATGTCTGGTTCACATCAAACACTCCAGTCTCTAACAGACCCCTCCCTGTGTTGATATCACCATTTCTTGCAGCCTCGCAGAGAGATTTCATTGTCATGAATCTGTAACAGACAAAGGCAAGCACGGTGTTTTTTTTTCTTTTTTTTTACTTGAGACGAGATTTGCACAGAAGAGATGGAACGGTCATTATCTGTATTCTATAGTAACATTATAAAGACCAAACACAGTTTGTCAGGTTATGCATATTTTGAAATGGCACTATCATACCCGTCAAAAATGTCAATTGTCAAAGGAGGCTTTCTTCACTTGTCCTTTTAACAGGACAAAAATAACTACACGAACAAACAAACAAAATAAATACGTTTTGAGACATTCTACATTATTTATTTCGAAATGTATAAACAGTTTTCTTTAATGAATTATTTGATTGAAAGTATCTCTTTGGGGATTTAAATTACATGTTATTATGATAACGGTGTAGGTACTTATATTTAGCAGGAAAAGCATTTTCACAAACTACTAAGGACACACAGTTTGAATTAATTCACCAAGGTAGTCAGTTTATTAAAAAGTTACCTAGCCTTGCTGCATGTACCAAGACACACCTGTCACAACTGGGAGGTGGTGACGACAGGAAAGTCCCGATTGTTAATGCATTACATGGCAACACGCATAAACAAAAACAGAGAGACTAATGGTATGTGTGCTATCGGTCTTAATATAATGACGGCGGGAATCCCATGTTTCCCCTTCATAATGCGGGCAGCTCTTACGCGTCAATTATAACCAATTATTTTTAAAACGTACAAATCAACGTCACTCATAACTTATTTTAAGGCCAGGCACATGTTTCACATCAAACATTACTCTTTTTACAGATCCATATATTTTGCCTTTATCACGATTATAAAGTATGAGTGCAGCGTGTATATGCTGATCACCACCGTCGATAATTACGAACGATAGTCCTACTTACTGAGTATTTCTAACCCGTTAGTGTTGTGAGTTCAAAACCGAACGGATCAGATAACTTGAAGTATATGTACATCTTGGAGATATGTAACGGTGAGTCGAGGAAATATTCCCAGCCTCCACTAATATTCCTGGTGCTGATTTGACCTTGATCAGGTATTTCTTAGGAAAATCCCTGACAGAGGCCACTTGACATTTCCCCCCCCCCCAC